CCTCTGGCTCCAAGATTGTCACTCTTTACAGGGGTAGAAACTTCCTTTTTCTCCTCCTGGCTTCAAACTGCTGACCGTCGAGTTAGCACTCCACTGTGTAAACCCACTGCACCATTTGTAAGTGATGCACATTCCATTTATAGAAAAGGAAAAAATCAAGCTCAAATCTCTGCCGGCGGGAAGTGAATAAGAAATTATTCATAGATGTCTGCACAGATTGCCTTGTTATATATACGTAACCTCATTTAGATGATTTTGTGTCTGTTACCCTTTGCAAGTGAGATAAATGGAACAGTGATGTTTGATGTATAAAATAGTATTAAGTAACTGCCATAAAACCCTCTAGTAATTAGTTTTATATTATTGGCTGGTAGTTTGGAGCCATTAAAACGATTTTGGGTTCATTGCTTAATTTTTAAAAATGCATGCTTAAGTCAAGAAAAGGGATGATGTCACCATCTTCATGGTCCCTTACACTGCTCTCTCACACAGCCAAGGAAGGCAGCTGCAATTACACTGCTTTAAATTCAGGCTGATGTAGAGTAGACCTAAAGTCAGGGTTTTATAGGATTTTAACATTTTATTAAAAAATAAGACCTACAATTTTCACACCAGTAAATATAAGAAAATACTAGCTGTTATGTTTACTGAGATGTTACACACTTGTTTGTTACAAACAGCGTTTGCGCGGACGACAAACACGCCATTTGACAGACGTTTTACTCCAGCGGAAAGAAAGCCAGAACCATCCCTATTATCCCTTAGCTGTCGTGCATTTTGTCTTTGGGGAAACTTTTAATTACCCTTTGTCACATTTAATTATTTTCTATTCCAAAATAGCATTAAGGTACTTTTTCATTTTCTCTTTAGAAATATTAGACCAATATAAAATCTAACTCATCTCCAATGCCCTCCTCACAAAACAAACTAAAAACTAAACTAAAATTAAAAAAACACAGGAACTATACTAAAACTAAACTCATTTACCATTGTGTGGATTCTGACCCATAATGACCATATAGAACAAATAGAACTGTCCCACAAGGTGGGCAAGGCTAGATATCTATATAAGAGCAGGTGCTGCATCTTTCCCCCAGTGCGCAGATCTGGGTTCACACCACTGGCTTCATTTAGGATCCATGCGCATAGCCACAGGAGCAGTTCTCCTCTGTCCGATAGGGTTGCTATGAGTCTGTAACTGGATGGCAAAGAATGAAAATTTAAAAACATTTAATTTTGTCCTTTGTTAAGAAAGCACCAAATAGTTATGGAGGTCCTAGAAAACATGTTCACATAGCTGAACGAGCATTAATCTTGTGAACTATTATAAATACAAAACCAAATTTACTGCCATTGTGCGAAGTCACAACCATAATGGCCCTGTATTGCATTTCTGAAACAAGTACCCCCCTCTTTCTCCCACTTCACAGAGCTACAGGTGGATTTGAATCACTGGCCTCATGGTTAGTAGCCCAACACTTGTCCAACAGGTTAAATTAGTTTGTATTTAACTTGACAACTGTGTATCTGGACTGTTAAATCAACAAAATAACATTAGTACTGAGCCCTGTCAGGACGTCTTTCTCTTGAAATAAGTCAGTCAGCTTAGAAAAAAATCTGGTTTAGGTGAAAAAAATATAGCAGTGAACTCAAAAATTTTAACTCAATTAATCTTAATATGAAAAACTATATATGTATATATATATTTCAAAACTATTTTATTGGGCATTAATACAGATATTATACCATTCCACAGTTCCATTACATCAAGCAGTATTGTACAATTACTACCACAATCTGTTTCAAAACATTGCTTTCCTTATGGAACTCCTTGACATCCATTCCTCTTTCTCCCCGTCCTCTATTGTACCCACCAGGAACGCTTATTGTACTTGCTGAGTTTCATATCCCCCCCAAACAGAAACATATAACAAAAATTCAAGAGGATTACTCCCTATGACAAAATACAACTGAAATATGAAAACAACAACAACAACAAAACAGAAAATGTTGAAAAGTTTTTAAGCATTAAAGTCCTTTGGATCCATCTCTCCAGTGCTTTCTGTTTGTAACGTTTCTTCCCATCCCTTTATTACAGATAGAGGGACATCACCAGAGGTTTATTTTCTCCGTCAACCTCACAAACGTGTCTTGGGCTGCCACTGTCACCCATAACCTTCTAAATGCCAGAATCTTACAATTTAGGCTTTGCTGATATTCCCTCCTTTGACACTGGACTGTAGGATTTACAATCCTTCACTCACTGATATTGGCGTGTTTCTTTCATGCGGACTTACTACATCTCACTTAGTAGATGGCTGCGTATCAGGAAACCATCCTTTAAGATTCTTGATGCTATTTTATCTGCTAGCCAGGCACCATATAATTTCTTCACCAAGCTTTCCTAAAACACCCCTATCGTCTATGTTCCCTAGCTGAGGGCAAGTATCAAGTAGGGCATGATGTAAGAACTAATTATTCTTAAATTGGAGGTAGGATTTAGTGAAAGCCCAAAATCCATTCCTGAAGCTATGTTTTTTTGTTTTATTTTTACCTGCATTTGACTCCCTTTAGAAACCTTGTTGATGTATGATAGAGAGTCTTATTAATCAAGTCTCTGGAACATAAAGATCTTCTGTAGATATTGTTATTGATTAGCCTCTGGTACTAATTTTTTAAAACACTGTTGAGAGAGGGATATTGGGCCAATGTAGGCAAACTCTACATCACAATATCTGATTAGTCACTTGTACAGAATCCATCCTTTCTTGGCTGATGCAATTTACATAAAAATAATGGGAGTTGGTTGTCAAGAAAATTTGCCAATTATATTCATTGACAATGTTAGTCACAGATTTTCCAGAATAATATATATCTTAACACAGCATATAAGGCATTGATGCAGTCAGTCAATTATTGGCCACCAACTGACAGTTCAATACTCTTGGAATCGCTGTTATCTGCTTCTTCAAACATCATGAATTATCAGTCTTAAGGACTTACCTCCGATGACAGGGTGTTTGAGGTAGTCCAGGTCACCTTCTTGGGTGTCAGCATTGGAGCTCTGGTGTGCCTTTGGAGCCTGTTGTGCACCTAGAAGCGCCAGGATTCAATGCCCCAGTGTTCTATGATGCTTGGCCTGGGTCCCAGGAATTGCGCCAAAACTAGGGCCAATGAGGCTTATTCAATACATATTACCAGGCATACTCCCCTCTGAGGGTTCCTAAAAGTATTTTTAGTTATCCCATTCCTCCAGCTGCGAAGTTGACCCTCCCACCCCTTTTCTACCAACAGTCACGCACTTGTGTTCTCCCAGACTAATCTGCTCTTTTTCCCTTCTCCTGACATTACTTTCCTGTAGTATCTTCCATCCCTCTTAAAGGGATGCCTACCTGTTCAGGGAGACCTCATCATAACTTTGCATGGCGGCCAACATCCCCTTTTATTCCCTTGGCTATTTGATCCCAGCTGATGTGAGGATTCCTTCCCCAAAGTTACCTTCAAGTTACTTACTAGAGAGGATTGTGTAGGGTTCATGGCTCTAGTCAGACTCTTTCTTAGGCAGTCTGGCCACTCTGGCCAGCAGACTGGGTGCCCTGCAAGCCAGCGCTTCTACCCGTCCTATTGCTTGTCCCTGCACCTGTGGAGTCAGTATTTATCCTTTTGTGATTGAATAACTCCACTCAGCACTATGTTTTCCAGAGCCCTCCATGCCATGAGGGTTTTCATGGTTTCTTATTTTTGGGGGGTACATGCCCAATAATTGTGTTGCTGGAACAATTTATATTTAAACAGATATTTGCTTAAGTAATTAGTGAGACGTGTATCAATTTTGCTAAATGTTTTTTATTATATAATTATTACTTGTTACCATTTGTCCAATAAGATAAAAATATTTCTGCCTATATTTCTTTAAGATGGTATCATATTTGAGCTTGCTACTTTCTTAAAATATTTAAAAATTCCCAAGGCAGTCTGAAAACATATATTTGCACAAAATACTTAATTAATAAGAAGTTAATAGTGGAATATTTAAAAGAATTATTTGCTTGATTTATTACTTCAGGTATGACAAATATAGCATATGTGGCAAAACAATAAATTACATAATATATTTTCTTTCCAGTAATTAATAAGTATATACTTCCAATAAAATGTTTAAGAAACCTAACTAGGGAAAAATGGGTCCTGATGATTACATAAATGGGCAATAGAAGGAATTAAAAGTTAAAGTGCTACTATATATATATATATATATATATATTAGCTACTATATTTTTGAAAGAGTTTATTTTGCTTGCGTGTCAATTAGACGCTCTGCTTACCACTAGAGGGCACTATCTCGATTGTGCAGGTCAGAGTGCACTGGGCATTTAATTAGAAACATCACAAAAACAGAGGAAATGATTCATTTGTCAAGCTCCAAGAATCTTCTTTTTCAAAACTGGAAATGCAAAATTTATATATACACCTTTATAAGCTCTATATACAAATTAAACACATCAATTTACAAGTCAGATATTTAGATAGAGCTCTACATTTCTCTCTTGGTCTTACTTATAGATGTAGAGTGAGATTAATGATATGAATGAGCATATTACTATGTGTAAAATTCATAGATCACTAAAACATTATATATATATGGAAAACATAATGGAAATATCATCCAACCTATTACATTTTGTTCAGGAAATATTTATGAAGTATGCTGTTTGATATTTGTGATTTCAGGGACCACCTGGAAAGGATGGCCTGCCAGGACACCCTGGACAACGTGGGGAAACTGTAAGTGACCTTATTCTTCTGATATAGATTATTTATGCCTCAATAGTTTTGATATTAAACTTCATTATTTGCAGCTCGATTATGCAAGGTTAAGGACAGTGAGATAATTTATTTCTTTAATCATCTTGTTAGATATGTGAATAAATAAACAGACAAATAGGTTCACATTTCTATCTATATTAATATACTTCAGAAATTAGCACATAAAAGGTATGAATACTCTGTTTCATTAGTACCAATTTAGGGATGAACTGAAAGGGAAGTTTCTGGAAACTTGTTTTTTTTGAAACTTCCCCAAAGTTGTTACTTTGATGCCTTGCAAACTGCATCATGGAAGCCTTTGCTTAGAATTACTGTTCCACTCACTTCATCCCACTTATAACCTCCAAAGCGAGCGCATTTTAATGAGCCAGTCCAATAATATAAAATGCAGGTATTTATAACTGAGGGATGGAATGGTGCTATGATTGGAAGCATAAACCTATAACTGGTTTGAAGCAATATCAGATGATGCTCTCATCTTAAAAAAAAGTGTAAGTGGAAAAATGTAATTGGATTTTATTTTAAAACTTCAAGGGACTCTCCTTGAAGTTTAAAATATTAACCACACCTCAAGGCATTAAATAAATAGGTTGGAAAATGTATCATATGTAAATAAGAGAACCTCCCTCTCCTCATAGCAGGGACATTGGTTCCAGGTGGCGGCATGTTTGTTGACTTAGTTCTTGTGTCACTGTGGCCGACCCGTGAGTCTGGCTCTCCCTGTGCGCGGGCAGTCTAATCAGAAGTCATCACCATGTGGCAGACTTCCTTGGAATCAGTTATCTGTCACCATCATTAATGAATGTTATTCAGATTTTTTAAGGAAACCTCAACACAGGCAACCATTGACTATGGCATTTAAATCATCTTAACAACTAAAACCTTTATTACTTTTCTGTGATGGGGGAAAAAGATCTATCCACACCAACCCAATTTCTGTTTTGCTTACCCAATGACATGTTGTTTTAACATCTTCTTAGATTTACCCAAATTGCAAACCACACAGTCGGAATCAAGAATGATTTCATGTGGCCTAATGATAAAATTGTTTCACCTACCTCCTGAGTATAGAATTTCCATGAAAGGCATAAAGTAAATTATCTAAAGAAAATTGAGAGCAAGAAGGCAAAATGAGTAGAAGCTCCCATATCCTTTCCTAGTGTCCCCTGCAACTAACGCACTAAAGAATGAATAAAAACAGACAGACAGAGGTCTCAATGCCCGGAGCAGCTGACTGAGGTGTTCTAGAGTAGGATGAGCCCAGACGCAGGCAGAAGGGGAGGAGGGAGGAACTGGACAGCCCAGAATCTGGGAGAACCTTCTGCCATATGGAGTCCTCATCACAGCCATTCTAGAATGGGGTTGGACAGTCTGCCAAATGGAGACGCTGACAAGGTTCTCATCTGAGGAAGCAGTAGCCTTATTGTTTTAAACTGGCACACAGTGGCTGTCAGAAGTCATGGTCCTTGCAAAAATGACAGGGAGACGAAGCAGTGCTCTGAAAGAGTGCTGTTGATTCTCACAGACAGCGAGCAAGCGCAGGAGCCTTAGAGCAAGGAGAACACTGTAGACAAACCCGCACCACAGAGGGAAATGGCTGGGTCCCTCCCCCGAGAGAGTCCGCAGAGGCGAGCTGTGCAAGGTTCCTGTGATGAAAAGCCCAGCAAAGTGAGCCCCACAGAGATGTGTTTGCAAGCAGCAACCCTCCCCTCCCCTGTCTGTACAATGCACTCCAGAGATCAAGATATGAAATCCTTGAACCAGCACTGAAGACTACCTAAGGATGACAGGACTGCGTGCTGGTTCCCATGAGATCAAAGATACTGCCACTTTATTGATTCCGACTCATAGTGATCATCTGCAAAGTCACCCTACGTCAGGCTATGCCATGGTGTGTCCAGGATGTCAATCTTCGTCGGGTCAGTTGCTGCATATTCCTCATGCAGAGCAACTGGGAGGTGCAGACCTCTCAGACTATGTATTTGTGGCCAGCTGCTTGGCCACCGTGCACCTATCAGACAGCTTTCCCACAAAAACCAGGATACAAAATTTAAAGTAAAAAAAATTTTAAAGCTACGTTCATCGGAAAACAATAAAACACACAAAAGTTCTATAGAAAGACCAGTCTAAATCAAACATGAGGAGGAAGAAATTTCTCTTCGGGAGACCAGATTAATAAAACAAATTCAAAAATTTCTGACTATGATGATAAGGAAAGGAAGTAAAAACTACAACAAAACAAACTAGCAGAGATCAGGAAAGCAATGCAGGAACAAATGAAGGTCTGAAAGGAAATTGAAAACATTAAGAAGGGAAGGGGCATGGGTCACTACATGATCTAAAGAATAAGCCCCTGGCTAGCAAGTCCATTCTGCCTCAGGACCCCCTATGGGGTTATAAGAGTGTAATTTTACAATTGCAGACAGCCTCTTTATGTAGAGTCCCTGGTGGGTCTGGACTGCTGATGTTTTTACTTACCCCACCGAACCCCCCAAACTCCTTGGGACTGGAGGACAGCACAACGGACTTAGAAAAGTCAGATACATGCTCAACATAGAGCAGAACAGAGAGACATCACCACCAACAACTAGGATTTATCAAGGATCAAAAGAAAAGTATAAAACAGAGCAAACAAACCCCAATGGGAATACAATCTTCCAAAGAAAAATTTCATATCAGAGTTATTGGAATCTCAGGCTACAATTGCAACACCAAAGACATACAAACAAGTTTCCAAGGATAATCAGGGAGACTTGCCTTGACAGGAACAGAGAACCGAGTGTGAAAATACAGGAAGTTACACAAATTCCACTAAGAAGACAGGAATAATTAAACCCCACACTATTACGTAATACAGTTTTTAAAGACAAAAGACAAGACGAGAACTCTGAAAGTAACAAGAAAAAGCAATGTAACATAACAATGGTAGGTCATAAGAATCAGTGCAGAGTTCCCTAAGATCATGAAAAAACATATAAAAGCACTGAAGAAAAACAATTATTTATGATGTTATTTATTTGGCAATGTTTTATTAAAAGATGAAAGAGCAAAAAGAAGTCAGAAGGAGCAAAACCAATACCATTAAGTGAACAGTTCCCTTCAGACTCTCAGAAAATGCCCTTGTTTGAGGAGAATGAAAGAACCTTGTTGCGAGGGAGGAGGATTCTCTGATGAGACAATGGAGTGATTAAACTTTATAAAAGTTATTTTTTGTTATTTATTTCTTTGGACCTTTTGCCTTTCTCTTCCCAGTAGTTTGTATTTATTTCTCAAACTGTTAAATATAATTCATCTTACATGAGGAATTGCCCAATAGAGTACAATGATGCAGGCCCAGGAGCCTAGAGAATTACAGATGCTATAAAATATGGCCAAAGGCTTTGTTTTCAGCTTGTACACAATGCTCACATCTGCTAAATTTTATTTTAATGGCTGTATTATTGCAAGGTATATTTGTACCTATATTCTTTTGGCTGTTATGAAAGAGCACTCTGAGAAAATGCTAAAATAATGATTCATCATAGGATTCCCTCCTTTTATACATTTCTTTCTACATCTTGTTTTCTGAGATTGTTCCAGTGCAATAAAGATAAATGCATTAATATCACAGACTATATATCCAGCTGTGGATACAGAACCATCAGACTATATTATATATTGCCTAAATCACCATTTATTTTATTCATGAATAGTGCTATTTTAAAATTCTATAATTGCTTGCCCAGAGGAAGAGGGGTAAGGACACATTTTCCTCCATCTTTACTCTATTATATTCTTTTTCAAGTTTCTTGAATATAATCACTGTAGTACAAAATAAAATAAAAAAATAAATTTGGAATGTTAAAAGAACTGAAATATTGTCGCTCATATTTAGCCATTTAAAATAAATGTTTTAGCTGAATAGTAATATTCTTCATGACTTACTTTATTATCTCATAAAACATATATTTATTCATTATTCCATGCATAGCTATTACAGATGATGTTTTGTTCCTTAGGGATTTCAAGGCAAGACTGGCCCTCCTGGACCAGGGGGTGTTGTTGGGCCACAGGTACGTTCCTTTACTTTGTTACCTTAGTAAGATTTATCTTGTTTTATGTTCACTTGTCTTAAGTGTCGTAATATCCCATATATGTCTACTTTATTATATTTATATTTCAGATACCATTTATATATATGCAGTTTATCTACAGCAAATGAAATTCAGCGAATTGTTATTTAGCTAGAACAACTTGTCCCTTTTCCTGTGTGAATAGAAACAGCAAAATAATTAATACCAATTGATAAGAAGATTCACAGTGAACCCAACACTACAGTCTAATCATAGTAGGATCTATTACAGAAAATCAAAATGAAGCAAGAGAAGTAATTTCTTCAATAGGTTGACCATCTTCTCTTCTAGGAAATTTAATTATAAAATTGCTTGCTGTCTCTAGGCATAAATTATATTTGGAAATATAATAAAGCAAAAGTACAAAGCAGCTTTGAATATGCTATTTTTAAACATTAATATTTTAATATATTATGCATTTTAAAATATTTTATTTCATCAAAATTTCTTAAAATAGGCATAGCATATTTGTAGGTTTTTGGTGTGGAAGTAATGGAAGAAACTAGTAGAGTTTTCAATCTAGGGTACACAAAGTTTCAAAAATTAAATTCTTTCTTAAACTTCAGTGTTTATTAGCTATAAAGAATATACCATGGAACTAGGGGAATAAAATTTTTATTCACTAGGATAACAGAATGAACAGGGACACATTTAGTTTACATAACTACAATTTTATTCCAACTATGACAAGTTACAGCAAAAGAACAAGAACAATTGAGTAAATATTTTAATTACATAATTGTTTAAAAGTATTTGTTACACCTGTGATCACTTTTTGTTTATAACCCTCTCTTTCTCTCACACATACATTCAGATCCATGTCCAGAGAAACAAAAACTGCATCCACTTTCTGGGAATATGTGTAACATTGTAACATTGGCAAAAATGAGTCCATTTTATTTAAGAACTTAATCTAAAATAATGGGAAATGTTAACTTCCTATAACTTTATATAGGAACACTCTGTGTCTCATTGAATTTTTCATTTGTGCTTCAAATCCAACTGTTTACTTCAAATGCAGCCTTATGTTTATGTTAGAAAGTTGTTTGATGGAGACAATATTTGTTGCGATATATGCAATTGATAGTCATTTTCTTTTTATAGCCATGTGCATCTCTGTGGAACTCTTGCTGTTGTGTGTATCTGTTGTTGTAGCATTGGTGATAATCATTGCATTAATATAATTGTGATATTTAATATTTATATTCTGGTATTAAAATATGAAGAAAAATCCCTTGGGGTAAAATGTGTGTTACTAATGAGAATCCAAGTTTCTTTCACTAATTCCAAATTTAATACAATTCAGAACTAGAAATGCCCACCCAAATGTGGATCAGATATGTTCTTTGCCCAATATCAAGAGGTAAAACCCATGTATTATTAGATAAATATCAGAGAATTGTATCATGTGAACCACTTCAGTAACATTCCATTTTAGCATTTAGAAGATTTCCCTTCCTATATATACTTAACTGCAATCTCTCATGTTGCTCTATTTTAAGGAGGCCGAGAACAATAGTTCACCAGTCTCTATCCCCACTTGAACACTGACTCAATTGTAGCATCAACACATAGCTCCCCTCAGGGGGCACCTCAAGGACCTGGCATTTTTCACTTTGGCATTTTAAGCAGTTGAAAGTAGTTGGCTATTTGTTATAGCCTTCAGCCCAAGGGAACTGCCATCTTAAGCACACTGCCTTTAGAAGCCCCCTGACATTCCCTGGAACTTGTCCAATGGCTACAGTGACAGAGGATCTCCAGCTCATGGGAAGTCCAATGAGCTCTACTTTGGCCCTTTGGGTCTCAGCTGACCGTGGCTTCCGAGCCAGTGGAAATGTACTGAATAGCTGCTGATGTACTACCAATGACTCACTCTGTCCTCGAAGCCCATTTGATACCTTTTCTACAAATAGGATGGAGTGTTGGCGGCATAGCGGGCTCCTTGTTGGGCTGCTAACCAGAAAGGCAGCACTTTCGACTGCTCAACTGATCCACGGGGAAAAGATGAGGCT